GAATGCAACGGGAAACCACTGTATTAAGTACCCCTAGTAAAGTCATGAATGGCAAATGACAAGTAGAGTAAACAAACTTACTGATTATGGAGCACGGAGTCCAAGATCCGGCAGGGGAGGAATAACTGTAGATCACAGGGCCTCCCAGGTCGTAAACCAGGGAAATTCCTGTGGACTTACGACATTGAAAATAGCAACCTGGAATGTCAGAAGTTTATACGCAAGTGGTAAATTAGCGAACGTACTGCTTGAAATGGAAAATCTCCAAATTGATGTTTTAGGTATAAGTGACGTACAGTGGCCAGGTTCAGGCAAACAAATTACAAATAATGGAACCATGTATTATTCAGGTAACAACGAGGTCAATCATCGCTATGGTGTTGCTATTTTAGTTGCAAAAAAGGTCAATTACTCTGTGAGAAGTTTTACTCCTTATTCTGATAGGATCAATACAACTTCAGTCTAAAAAAGGTATCGTAAATTTTATTCAAGTTTATGCTCCTACGGCAGATAAAGATGACGACGATATCGAACTATTTTACCATGATTTACAAGTCTTAAAATCAATGAAAAAACATCACACTACAATAGTAATGGGCAACTTCAATGCCAAAGTTGGCCAGGGAAGAGTGGATGGATATGTGGGGGAATATGGTCTAGGAACTAGAAATGAACGTGGTGACCGTTTGATACAACTTTTCCAGACGGAAGAATTTGTAATAGCTAATATACTTTTTAAGCTACCAAAAAGAAGATTGTATGCATGGAAATCTCCCAGTCATATAACGAATAGAATAATCTGAAATCAAATTGACTTTGTCCTCATTAGACAAAGATTTCGTAATTCTATAATGTCTGCCAAAACTTACCCTGGAGCAGCCATCGGTTCAGACCAAAACCCCATAGTAGTCACATTACGAACCAAATTGAAACTGGTTAAAAAACCCACACAAAGTAGAATTGATATTATGAGATTAAGGGAACCAACAAAGGAACCAACTGTAAAAACTCTTACTGAAAATCTATGTAATGCTCAAGAACTGAATAAAAGTAGCTATAACATTGATCGGAAATGGAAAAATATAAAAGTAGCAATAATTAACACAGCAAATGAAAACTTAAAGCCAAAGAATAGAAAACATAAAGACTGGATGACTGAAGAAATACTACTATTAATGAATGAAAGAAAATCATTCAAAAGAAAAAATCCAATTAAATATAATGAAACTGATCGATTAATTAAAAAGAGAATAAAAGAAGCTAAGGAGAGAATGTTACAAGAGCAGTGCCAAGAACTAGGAGAAATTGATAAAAAAATATGACTTTTTCAACATGCATAAAAGAATTAGAGAATTAACAGGAATGAGAAAAATACTTCAAACTAGGCAACTAAGAGATGAAAGTGGTGCACTTATAACAGATATAAACCAAAAAATGCAGAGATGGACACAATATATAGCACAACTTTTTGAAGACAAATGGAGAACAGAAGCACCAAAAGAATTTAAGGATTATACTGGGCCTGATATTATATGAGAAGAAATTGAATATGCAATGAAACAAGCTAAAGGTGATTAATCTTCCGGGCCTCATGAAGTTCCTATCGAATTACTCAAAATTGTGAATACCGAATCTATTGATCTTCTTTTGGATCTATTCAATACCATATATAGAACAGGTATGGTACCTAAAGAATGGCTTCAAGCAACTTTCCTACTGTTTTCCAAAAAGGCCAATGCAAAGGAGTGCAATGAACATCGCACCATAGCCTTAATGAGTCATGTCTTGAAATTGTTTTTAAAAGAAATTCACAATAGAATACATAAGAAATTAGATAAAGGCATAAGTAATACACAAATGGGATTTAGGAATGGACTGGGAACACGAGATGCACTGTTTGCAGTAAGTGTTCTTTCGCAAAGATGCTTATATATTAATCAGGAAGTATATGCCTGTTTCACTGATTTTGAGAAGACATTTGACAGAGTGCAGCATAATCGGCTTAATGAAAATTTATTAGATAAAAACATAGTAGAGACAATAGAATGATATGTAACCTCTATTGGAACCAAACAGCAAAAGTGAAAGTTGAAAATGAACTGATTGAGGATATCCAGATTCGCCGTAGGGTCTGCCAAGGGTGTATTTTATCACCCTTGTTATTCGATTTATACAGTGAAGTCATCTCAGAATTAGCGCTTGCCGAGATCAGTGGGGGCCTTATATTAAACGGTGAGCCACTTAATAACATATAATATGCTGACGACACCGTCCTTCAAGTTCCTAGTATACCGCACCAAGTTCATAGTATTTACACAAGCACAAAACATCAAAGTTAAGCTAGTACTAGATAATACAGAAATTGAACAAATATCTTCGTATAAATACCTTGGAGCATGGATCACAGAAGATACTGATCAGACAAAAGAAATAAGATGCCGCACTGAAATTGCACTGTCAACTTTTAATAGAATGAGAAAACTTTTTTGTAATCGCGATATCAATATATCGCTCCGGATAAGAATGCTTCGATGTTATATTTTCTCTACCCTTTTGTATGGGGTTAAAGCTTGGACACTTAAAAAATCCAACATTAAAAACTTAGAAGCATTCAAAATGTGGTGTTACAGACGTATTTTGAAAATATCATGGATGGATCGCAAAACAAACGAACAAGTTCTCGAACAACTGGGAAAACAAAGCAAAGTTTTAAATTAAACAAAAATCAGGAAATTGGAATACTTGGGGCACATCATGAGAAGTGAAAAATACGAACTACTAAGGAATATAATGCAGGGTAAAATCAAAGGCAGAAGAAGCATAGGAAGACATCTCGTGGCTACGCAATCTCCGTGAATGGTTTGGATGCAGTTCAATTGAACTATTCAGGGGCGTAACCAACAAAATTATAATTGCCAGAATGATTTCTAATCTCTGATAGGAGTGGAACTTGAAGAAGAAGAAGATACATCTAACAGAAACTCCTAGTAGAGGGGAGGGAGTTACTATGAACTAAGTATATAATTTTACCTTGGAGAAAATACGTAAATTACAAAGCCATTCATATTGTATTTATCAGAACCTTCTACAGATGCAGAGGGATTATAGTAGACAAGAGGGATTATAGTGGATACAGAGGGATTATAGTGGACAAATTTTCGCCAGAAATATGTAAAACTGATAAATATTTGGATCTTTTAATAGATTTCTGGAAACTATGAATTTCTTAAGAAACTATTATTTTAAAATTACACCTATGAATCTAAATAAAATAAAATCGAAAAATAATATAAACTACTGCAAAAGGTGCTTTGCTACACCATAGCACTTAATGAATTATGTGATATTGTTGACGACAAACAATATGATATTGAAAATAAAATGTTTAGGGATGAATTGTTTGCAGTGTAGCCATTTAAAGGCGAGAATCGTGGAGAATATTTATTCCAGACTTTATATGATTTCACGACAAAATAAATTATAAGTTATGATAAAATCCACAAGGAAAATGAAATTCCTGTATACCATGAACATAAAAGCCATAAAAACTTTTATGCCCTCTTTCGGGTTACATCACAGAATGTTTTCGGACTAATAAGTCCATTATCAGTGCAGTTTAGTTTTATCAAAGTCTATTTTGACGTTTTGATCTCGACTTCGCAAATCATTCTCAAAATGGATCCATAAAATAAACCAATTTTGTTTTTTTAAACAAAAAAAAAATATTTAATTTAATCATTTTTTATATTTTGTGAATAATTTTCAAAATGGAAATTGAAACATCAAAAGAAACTTATTTTAAATTAAAATTGTGGCTTAGTCTCAATAAAAATAGTAAATTGTATTAAGATACCACAAAAACATATTTTCAGAACAATAACAAGTAACTTTTATTACAAGAGTAAGATTGCAACATATAATTTTACTATTTTTGACTTAAGCAATAATCAAGGATAACACTGTTATAAATAAAACCAGTAAGTAAATATTGAAAAGGGTACTGGATAAAATGTTTATGATTTTTTAAAAAGTGCAAGATGGTATTAAAAAATCGTATATTCCAACAATTGCTGAGAGCAAAACTATAATCATTTTATTTTTTTGATATTTGATCATGCATCAGTGACTTTGGGTCTGAAAGTAACACCATTTTTCTTGAGATTGGCCTTACTCAGAATGAAAAAAGACAGCATGTATGATGTGATATAAATTTCAAAAAATGTCATTTTATTTTTATCCTCCTGACCAGTGGATTAACCTCATCAAAATGGCAAAAATTACTTCCTCACAATGCAGAGTTAAATAAATGTCCTAAAAATACTGTTAATTTTAAACCAATGGTTCAGAATCAGAACTGGAAGAGAACTAACATTAGGGATGTGGAAAAGATAAGTAAAATTAGGGAAATTCACTTCGAACCAAAGACTTATTATACTTGTCATTTTGCCAACAGTTTTACATGCGATTACAGAGAATTTAACATAAACCCGAAGAATACAAAGTACTACAATTATCTCTTCAAAGTCTTTTACTAATTCATAGTATAAAATTAAATGGCTATTTACTACTAGTACCAATTATTTTAATAATAAAAAGACAATATAATAAAATTAAAGTAAAAGCAATATGGAAATAAAAGCAGCCAAAATATATGTGATTATGACCACAAAAGGAAATTTACTATTTTAAAATATCTCTTTGATAGTTCTTATTATCAAGAAATATGTTCACATTGAAAGAGCTAAACAGTCAATAGGAAAATCATAATAATATCCACAAATAATGAAAAAGTATTAAAAGAAACAAACAAGCTCCTTTTTTGATCACTGTTACAAGAAGTCAATAGTTCTTATTATCAAGAAATATATTCACATTGAAAAACCAAAACAGTCAATAGGAAAATGATAATAATATCCACAAATAATGAAAAAGTATTAAAAGAAACAAACAAGCCCTTTTTTAGATCACTGTTACAAGATGTCAATTGTTTATTGACTTACCTTTCCCACATATGGAACACATATTTCTTAATTTTGGTATAGATTTTTGGGTTAATTTTTTCAATTTTTTTGTATATTTATTTTCAAGGGTTATGCATGCTGATGATGGTCCTGATTGCAACAGAATTTCCTCTGGTTTTATAATATCAGGCAAATCTTCACATTCAATTTCAGCCTTAAGAAAATATGGATTTAGTACTTTTATTTTTCTTATATCTTTCTCCACTTCTGATTCATTATTAAATACATCAGTTTCTCCAGGTTCACTTTTAATTTCTTGTTTTGTAGGTTCTATAAAGCTTGCATCTAAGGATTCTGTTTTTATTTGTGAAGTTTCTATAGGAAGTTGAATTTTAATATCTGAGCAATCTATATCTATTTCATCTTTAAAGTCTTGTTGTCCATAAGGCTTTAGATTCTGAGAGGTGGGATCCATTTTTGATGTATTCCAGACGTTTATTTTTGTTAATTTAATTAATCTAATTACTACCAATATGAATATTGATATAATACCAACTATAATGCAACTATATCAAAGAAGTATCATGTATCATAGAGATAATAAAGGGAAGGAATATTAGAAACGATATTTCTCTATTTACCATCGAGTTAGAATATAACTCCATTTCTACATATTGAGTATTTTATTTACTAAATAAATAAATGGACAATGGAGAATGGAGTTGGGACTTGGGACCACTTAATTTGACACCAAAGAATTGACATTGACACGACACTCGACACTATGTACTAATCAATGACGTATAATATATAGACTCGGTGAACGCTTTAAAAAGTGTCCAAAACATGAATACCTTTGTTATTGTTTATTGTTTTGATACGAAGATGCACGAAGTTCATGATTTCTTACGAAGCATCACGAAGTTGATCTTGTGTTTGAAAACATCATGGACGTACTCCATTTTGTGTGACAAGCAAATTTTATTTTAAATTGTTGAGAGTTATTTACTTACTATTTTAGTAAAATGCCATACTATTTTATCAAAATAATTATTTCTCTTATATACGGGAACAAAAAGAAATCATAAATATTTAATTTTAATTAAAAAAATAATTATTGTCATTAACATATAAATGAGCACGCCGCTGTTTTGATAAACATATCTTCAACCTTGAGCCGAGATCTTTCGGACACTCGATTCTATAGCGAGAATAGGGGACTGCGTAGTCTATATATTATACGTCATTGGTACTAATCAACATAGCAACGCCAGCAACGGGCCACGGGCAGGTCCGGATTAAAATTAATTCAAGATATATTTACGATATCTTTATGTAAATTTCTTCTACTACAACTTACACAATTTAGATTCTTCAACTTACTTTTGGTTAATATATTAATACCGTGGAGTTAGTGTGATAACTCATGGAATTAATAATTAAAATTTTAAAAGTGCATGTCGAATAAATTAAGAACTATGACAAACATTTAAACAGACAAATTCCAATAAAATATATAATACCTACACAGTTTAAAGTATATTTTAACGCTTTCATGGAAATTACACCTGGTTTTTACAATTTTATTTGTATTCAGTTGATAAAATCGTAATTAATTGTTGTGTTATTATAAAAATAAATTAGTAAACATATTGGAGAAAAAGTGTAAGTACCTAGTATTTAATATAATTGAAAATACATCAAAACAAGTTCCCGATAATTTAAAGCTTTCTAAAATGGATGAAGATTCTGTTGGTTGCATGTATTTCACTATTTATTCTCCTATCAACAATCAGCTAAGTTTATATTCCAGCGCTGTTACTTCATTTAAATGTCCAACTAAAAATCACTAGGTATAACCAAAGCACCAAACACTCCAACCTATCAAAAGTGGAAGGTAGATCCCGCTGACTGGGAACTATATCAACATCTTGTAACCAATTATGTACATCTTGGACTTTAAACCAGAAGAAAATATAGATACTAACTAACTAATATTATAAAAGCTATTGATATATCCATGGGAAAAACCAAATTATGTAAAAGAAAACCAGTGCTATGGAGGAATCAATAAATCGCTGTTACTATGAAAGCTAGCAAGAATGATTCTGGGAATCTTCTTAATTTTAAAAGTTTGAGAGCTAAAACTAAAAATCACGCAGTCGTGGAGGTGCCTTTTAACGAAAAATGATGAATTCTACCCTCCAGGTTGCTTTAAAGGTCCATCAACGAGATGTATCGACGTAATATGTTCCAAGTCGATGAGGTTGGATTTGTCATCAAGTCATTCATCTAATATTGTGTAAAAATCCATTTCCATATTAAGTTCTATTTCCATTTATTCAAGTGTTTGAAGTATGTTTATTATCATTATTTTCAAGTTGTATTCGACGAGAGCATTATTGCAATGAAAATGCCGGCATCGAGCTATTTCCATTTTGTCTTTAATAAAGGAAGGATAGATGGTAATAAAACACAGTAATTGTAGACAACCACAACTCACCGAAAGGAGTTTCACAAAAGTGCATGACCAGGCAATGGGCACGCTGTACTGTGAGACTGAAGAGACTAGAGAGCTATTGTTTGGAAGTGTCACATATTTATTTGTTTTTTAAACAAGCATCTATGAGCACTTTCAGTACAATAGCCAATAGTAATTATTAAATTGTGGAAAGGTGGGGTGATGCCCGTCGAACTGCGCATTAGGTCCAATCTAATGCAGCATACAGCTAAATCTCCCCTTTAAAGACTCTTTTGCCGGTTGTAAAAAGGTATTTACTTATTATTTATTAATTTAATTTTCATTAAAATACAATGTTTATATCATGTATAAAAAAGATACATAGTAACACAATATTTTTAAAACCGCTTGTTACAATCATGCCCCTACCCAAGTGTTTTATTTTTATTTCATTTTTTTTTTTCCTATAAGTTAGATTGAGTTTTAAAAGGTAAATATTCATATAATGCCTGGAAAAATTCAAAATACAATACAATGATCAAAAAAAGTTAAAAGTATAAGGAGACATGTAAAATGTCCCAAAATTGTGCAGATATATCATCCATCCGAAGTATCTTATAGGAAAAGTAAATGTTACAATATTTTCTGTAAATTTAAGTGATTAATATTTGAAAGGTACTTGATAATACCTTCGTAAAACCAGGTTCACGATCAATGGCTGTATAGGTACTATCTAGTTAGATGGGGTAAACATGTATTAATTGTTTGAATAACAAACTTTTAAAACTAAGAAGATTCTTAGAATCATTCTTGCTAGCTTTCATAGTAACATATATTTCTTGATTCCACAATGGCACAATCTATACTTTCTTCTGAAGTAAAGTCTAAGATGTACATAATTGGTTACAAGATGTTGATATAGTTCCCAGTTAGCGGGATCTACCTTCCACTTTTTCTCAAATAAGTTTACTAATTTATTTTTATAATAACACTATACGTAATTACGATTTTATCAACTGGATACAAACAAAATTGCAAAAAAATCCGGTGTAATTTCAATGAAAGTGTTAACATATACTTTTAACTGTATAGGTATTATATATCTTATTGGAATTTGTCTGTTAAAATCTACAAGATTCTTTTCATCGTGTATTACGTATTTTCTATACGAAAATAGTTCCTTCACGCCTTTATAGAAGATCTAAAGTAGAGGAAGAGTTGAATCAGATAGTCAGGAATTTTAACTAAAACTAAAATTAGTTCGTGGGCAAGGCCTATGGTGATTATTCCAAAGAGAGAAAACATATTTTAGAATATATGTAGATTTCAAGAAAACGGTAAATTGGAAATAAGTTGCATCAGCACTAAAAGTTGAAAAGTGAAATCAGTGAAAAATCAAGAGGGTTACTTACCATCAACACACATTTAGGGTTATTTATACTCAATCGATTAACATATGGTTCAGCACCTGGAATTTTCCAGACAGTAATGGAAAATATTTTTGCAGTTATACCAAACACCAAATGCTATATCGATGACATATTAATTTATGGTACATATCTTGAAAATTGTCATTATAATGTAATAAATGTTCTTTCACGTATAGAAGAATTTAATGTAAAAATTAATGAAGGAATGTATTAAGAAAGCTAAACTCACACAAAACTTAAAGGAATTTAAAACATATCTTCTTAACTATTGTTCTAAATTTTTGCCTATGATGTAATGCTAAATAGGTCCTTTGTACAAGTTATGTCGGTCAAATTTTTCTTTTGTATGCTCAACGGATTGTCAGAAAATTTTTGACAGCAGTAAGGAACTGCTTTTGTAAAACCGAGTATTCACCTTATGTAATCCTTCACTTCCAATATTTATCACTTGTGACGGTAGTGGTTTTGGAGTAGAAGCTATACCTACTTAGTCACAGAGTTGATAAAGAGGATACACCTATTTGTTTTCCCTCTGAAACCTTATCATCGACGGAACAGGAGTATTCAAATATAGAGAGGGAAGCGTTAGTTGTCAATGATTATGACATGGGAAATGTAGTTAAAGTCGTAAGTTATTGTACTTACCTCGTGAATGTTAATAATGATACAAAATTTTTGCATGACGACAGCATAGGCTAGCTAAGGAATAACCGTGAAGGGAGTAATAGTGCAGTGATTCAAAAAGCGTCTTTAAATGTTGATCCTAACACATATATTGTACCCACCCGCCTGCCTAATATTGGTTTAAGTGATTACATGAACCTTCAGGTGGAGGAAAATAGTACTGCAATTACATATTCCAATAATTTAACCGTTATTAGTAATTTACCTAGGCATAGTCAAACTAATACAATTAAAAGCCATATTTCCCTTCTAGAATTTGAGCAGACACCTTTACCAGTGGTTACCAGAGCTGTGAAACCACCCAACAAATTTCGTTATACAAGGGGAGAAATGTTGTAAATATCAGAACTCATCTTGCGAGACATGACGGACGTCGAAAATAGTCGGGCGTGCCTAGTTTTAGGTTAAGTAACAATGCGCTTTATTTGATATTAATAAAAGTCTATTTTATCAATAAAGCTGTATAATTTAATACATATCAGTTATATGGTAGTTGTAAGTAATTGTAGAAGAGTTACTGAATAAATTAAAGGTAAGCTAAAAATTACTTTGGATGATTTAGTACACAGAGATATAATTGAGATGGCATTTGAACCATCAGAATGAGTAAGTAATATAGTTTGAGTTGAAAAGCATAATTCAGGCCAATTAAGAATTCATTTATATCCTATACATTTGAATATGTATACGAGGGTGTATTGATATAAAACTAGCCTTTGATAGAAAAAACAAGTTTTTGGGAATAAAATTGATTTATTTCTCAACGTAGTCTCCTTTTAGCTTGATACACTTAGTAAGACGATGTTCTAATTTTTTAATCCCAACCGAATAGTAGGTACTTTTGCTTGAGCTCTTCAAAATAAAAGTTTTAGCGACGATTTCATCATTTGTTGCGAAACAGCGTCCTCCGAACCATTTTTTTAGGTTCGGAAACAGAAAAAAATCGCTGGCGGCAAGATCTGGGGAATACGTTGGGTGTTCAACCAATTCATAGCCCAATTCGTGTAATTTTGAATTGGCGACGGCCGATCGATGCATTGTCTTGGTGAAAGATCACTTTTTTGCGTTACAAACCGGGTCGTTGTCGATGCAATTCGGCATCGAATCGATCCAATAATGCTGCGTAGTACTCGCCATTGATTGTTTCTCCTTTTTCGAAGTAGTCGATGTGGATGAT